AACGATGCGGATCTGAGGTGCGCGGCTTATGATTTCTTATTCTATTTGAATGCTGCTCCGACAGACTTGTGCGACTTTCATTGATGGAAACTTTCAAAACAACAACAACAATAACAAAAAAACAGCTAAACAGCTAAAAATCAAGCCAACGGAGAACGAGCCGGCAGGCAAAATTTTGCGAACAGGTTTTTCATAATTCTTGTTGTTGTTGTTGTGTTTTGATTTTTGTTTTTGTTTCTGCTTTGGTTTTGGTCTTTTTACCATTTATTTTTCACAGTTGTGTTTCTTTCTCAGTTGTGTTTTGGGCCAGATACGCAGCTACACTTTGCAGATACTTCAATTCGTTGGCATCGCCATCAAGCTAACAGTTAGCTGCTAATGTGTGTGAGCACACTGCAAGTGTATGTGTGTGTGTGTGTGTGTTTCACAAACCATCAGCAGAAGTACATAAATTACATTGGCAGTTTGACGACGCCGACGTCGACGCCGACTGAAGTTGTCGCCTGATCAGGCGCTTTGTTGCCGGCATTGTTTGAGCCGGGCCTACAAAAGTCTTCTCAGATTTTTATTGGCCCGCTCGGCGGCGTTACGTGTCCACAATGGAGAACGGTCCGGTTTAGTGCGTTTTAGCGAGCACATAACAAAATAGCAAATGCGAAAATAATAAAATAGCAAAAAAAAAAAACTGAAATACAGACAAGACAAGAAAATGGTAGAAACACATCTTGTGAAATATTCATGTCTCTGGCACTCGCACTCGCACTCGCACTCGTACAGGCCCCGTCGACTATCTAGAAATTGCAAAAATTGCAATGCAATTAACTACGGCGCAGCTAAAGACGACGTGGAAAGCATTCCGAGAGCCGCAATCGACACGTATTTCCATTGAATTCAATCGAACCGCTACTCAACGGACGAGCCTCAATGGAGTTTGTTATCCAACTACACACACACACATACACACACATTCATGAAGCGCGCGCTTAACTTGAAGCGCTGTCATACTCGTTCGTGGGCGTGCAGCGAAGAGTATATGGGTTTGATAAGTGTCTATGCCCATTGCAGAGAGTTCTTATCCAAGTGCAGAGAATAGAGTATATTGGCTTTGTGCACTGGGAATTGGAAATAAAAAGTCGTCTATATAGCGATGATCTATCTTAGTTATAGAGTTGTATTTATAGTCCATAATGAAGTTTTCGAGTTGTTCAGGCTGCAACATAGAGTATCTTGTCCGCCTGATAGACTTGTCGAAGCTTCAACGAACAAAATTATTCGACTTTATTCATATTCGTGCGAATAGAAGTATATTAGATTTATCCTAAGAGCCTCCGTACTGATCACATTCGCGCAGAGATTAGTATTATAATAGAATCGTGAACGCGTATTACACAGTCGCCTATGCCCCATTGTAATGCTTGCTCTTGAGCAACACTAGGCTGGGCACTGCCCACATTTTAACAAATTATTCTACAATTTTTTTTGTGTAGGTATTTTTCCATTCACATTGGTTTCTACGGTCGCGTTTCATTTATTTTCACATTTCGACCTGCCCTGAAATCTGTTTCTCACAGAAGCCCTATGGGCTGGGCTTCTCTTGACCTAGTGCAGCAGCAGTCGAAGCTCGCACAGCCATTGAGCAAATTGAGGAAATACGTACTTAATGCAGGGCTGTACTTATTTCTCTATATGTGCATTATGATGAAACGATGTCAAGTCAAGTCAAGCAGAGTTCATCTACGTGAAACGCAGTCAATGCTCGATATATCGAAAGATAACTTGACTGCTATCTAAATAGATTGGCAAAACAGGTCAAAGCGGGAGAGAAAGAGGAGGGAGAGAGGAGGAGAGAAAGAGAACAGGAAATATGAAGATATATACTATATATAGACGTCATCATCATCAGCTTCATGATCATAACCGAATATGGATGCCACTGTCATCTATTTTATAGTTGACACAATTTCACTTGTTATTAAACAGATCTGGATACACATTAGATATTGTTCTAATACTCCCTCAGATAGAGAGATATACAGATAAAGAGAGATACAGATACAGATACAGATACAGATACAGATACAGATACAGATACAGATACAGATACA